AACTAATTTCATGTTTTGCCACACCATTAAAATAAAGAAATCTAATAAGATTCTTTAACAAGCTTTTTAATGGTGTTGCACTTGTGGTGAGATGAATGAAGAAAATCAAAGATTGATTCTTCATAGTAATAATTTTGTCAATTTATTTATTCATTTCAAACATGGTGACTTATTTAACACTAGTTAAAGTAAGATAATTTTATTAAATTAGGCACATACTCATATAATTTTCCATTCTGACATTTATATCATAATTATTAAGACATTTTCTCTTACAGAGTACTACTTATAAACAAGATTTAGCGTTGGAGTAAATTTATGCTGAGACTGTTCTCATATTAGTCAAAATTCATATTATTAAACAGAGAATTAACAAAGGTTAACCTAGTACAAGGTTCTACGGGAGTAATATTTGCCCCTAGAAGGTACATTTGCTTATTCTCTGTGTAATATGAATATGAACTAATACTAAAACTGCAATTTTATCGTAATTTTACTCTTGACGCAAACCTTGTTTATAAGTAGCACTGTTAGACAATATTTTAAAGTAATATAAGCAAACAGTATATATCAGTCCTAAGCATTTAATTGGAAATATATAGTGAGGACTTCCAAAATATTATGAATACAAAAGTACTGATAAGTAAAGCTAACTAAAGCACAAGTTAACTAAACCAATATTTACTTTAGAAATCATTCATATTTTGAAAGATCTCATCAGCAGAAGTTCCCAAGGTTATTTTTGTATTCCTATAGAACTCACTTTGAACAATCCACTCAAATTTCTCAGCGACCTACACTACACAAAACAATCAATCACTATCAATATAAACTAAAACAATCATGCTAAGGTATTTTTTTATTAACTACATTCTAATATGGTAAAATTAATATCCAACTTCAATTGCATAGAAAAAATTGTACTTCTCTAGTTGACATTATTTTTATCACCTCGGCAATTAAGTAAGATTCTGATTTATTTGTTCAAATGTAGTTAAATGAAACGAATTATCAGTTATTTATTTGTAGATGAAATTATTTTTTGTGGTTATTATACCTAAATGGTATTTTAATGTTAACAGTGGTAATGGTACTTAGGTTTTTAATCTTACCTATATAAAAATAAATTTTTGTTTGTATCGCTAAAACTCGAGAACGGCTGGGCCGGGAATATTAAGATAACTTTAGTTTCGTTTTTTATTTTAATTTTTCCGTTTTTAGGGATCCGTAGTCAACAAAGCCTTATAGTTTCGCCATGTCCGTCTGTCTGTGCGAAACGCGTTAATTCAAAAACTATTGGTATTAGAAAGGTGTAATTTGGTATGAACATATACTTTAATCACGCCGATAAAGAGCAAAAATAAATAATATCTTGATATTTTTTTTTCTCTCCTACTTCCTCCTCCACATGTGAAGTGGGGGATAAAACATTTTTTATCATCATTTTTATATACCTTAGTGTGAAATATTGTGGATAGGTCTTTCGAAATTCGGAATGTGTGGATGACCGCTTTTCGATTAAGTTAACCGTTCGTGACTTAAGCCAGTTTTTTTAAATTACGTAGTCAAATGTCATTTCATCATTTGTTAACTTGACTATAGTTAAAACATTAACAAGTTCTTAACTCGCTATTTCGTTTTTTGATGCCAAATTAAACCATAGCCAAATTTAACCACTGGCCAATATATTGCCAGCACAATGAGTCGTTTTTTCACTATACATTGACATGGGTAATTTTTTCTGGGTGACAACACTAACGGTTTGAATGAACTGAGCGAACTATATTTGACATTAGGGTTTTGTTCCAAATATCAAATAGACGAAAGAAATCTATAGATTATCAAGGACTATGTATTTTATGTACTGTAGGCATATTTACCTTTTGTATTGTCTATTCGTAAATTTTATAAGATTTTTAATAATTGAATAATTGGCATCTGCCCGTGTAAACAAGAAAAAATATTTCTATATAGTACAAATATACTAAGGATGATCAAGATAAAAATATAACTTATTTTCAATAAATGACAATGAATATTTTTCTATGAAATTTCATCATAAAACGAAATACCAAAAATAGTTAATGTCCAAATTTACTATGAAATCATGTAGGTTATAAAAACAACGTAAAAGCAATAACAAGGGACCAAGTAAATACAACGCAGTTGTACATCTGTTCTTTTAACCATTGGTCATTTACTTAACCTAGCTTTCAGTGATGGTTAAATTTTTTGACAAATGGTTGTAATTCTGAAAATTGATTAGGCTAACTTTTAATCAAAAAGCATATTTTTCTGATATTTTACTACCAAATAATCTACCAAATATTTGTATAGATGTCACAAAAATATTAAAGTTAAAAGAAATTATATTTACCTATATAAAGAAGAAATTATAAAGAAATTATATTTACCTAGATCAATGATTATCCTCCTTTCGGAATTTGAATTAATGCAAAATACGTTATCTTATGTTTTTTCACTGTATATGATTATATCGTATATTTAGGTGATATCTGATGGAAAGCATATTTTATTTATGATTCTAAATTACACTATTTAGGTATGATAGCTAAATATAAGCGGGATAAAACATTTAGTTATTTTATTTATATTTATGACCAGCCCCCTTACTCTCGAACGCAATCGAGTCCGATTTACATTGCAATTGCAATGGCAGACGTCTGTCTGACGCGACACGAGTATAATCGTGGATCATATCGCTTTTATTAAGTACTTTTTCTTACCTAGGGTCCTTGAGGGGTTCATAGAGTTAACTTGCTTTGTGCCAAGTTCCTTGAATGTACCTATAGGTATATAGTAATGTACGGATTGTAATATTTATTAAAAATATACGTTAATTATTAAAAGAGAATATTGTGGGCAATAAAACATTTGCATTTGAGTAGGTATATTTATTTCCTAATTTTAAATCAATAATATATAAATTTATATTAAACCAATATTCAAAAACAGTCATTTATTCTTATAATTATAACTAAAATTTTGTGCTAGAAGATTGTTTTTGAATATTGAGTCGTGTCATGCATGATACACAAATTTTACAATATTATAGCATCTGGCAAGTTGTGGTGCGAATATTACAAACATTTTTATCAAAACAAAATGTACTTTTAAATATTTTAAAAGTCATTTCTTTTCACATTCCGGCAAGGTTTTGTCATATAATTTCAGCACAACAATAATAAATCTACCATGTAAGTACTTATCAGGTACATTTTATGTAGCTGGTAATTATTATATTTAATAGGAAAATTTTTCATGTGAAAGATGCCTAAATTTACTTCATGTTTGTATCATTAATTTTCAATTACCTATTTGAATATGTAGACGATATACTATTTAAATTTTAAAGTTGATTCAAATATTCAATTCAATAAAGCCGTATTAAAAAGTTACACATATTCAAATTTGTTTCATTCAGTGTACCTGTCGTGATCAGAGGTGCGAACGCCGAACTCTGGCGATCACAATGTGTTATTTAGTTTTACTTTACTACATTATCACGCGTTTTGATGGATTAATGTCTAAGTTTGTAACACTGCCGACAAAACTTTAATCATAATTCTGTATCATTCGTTCAACTTTATCAAAGTAGTAAAATTAAAGGATATATCGCTATAACACCGGATAGACGTTGTATACTATGGCTAGAGAGTTAAACGTTCGCACACACCCTGATTTAATGGCTAGTCACTTTTCGACATATCCTAGCCTTTCACGATACATAATGGCATAATTTATAATATGACATGGTCTAGCCACATCAAGCGGTTAGTCAATACATAGGTATTATTGATGGGTCGCCGGCAACTGAGTGTCCCGATTCCTATGCATTTTGTGCAAAAAAAAAACAGACATCTACTAGATGGTACGTAAACGGTTAGTTATAGTTTGGAATTGGCTCCGGTTCGGTTTTGTTCCAAAAATAGAGCCAATATCAAAAATATAAGAGTTTGAACACATTAGGTTAATGATGTGGCTAAACATTGATGTATTAAAGATGTGATTAATTGTTAGTTTTATTGGCAATATAGTGAAATGCGATAATTTCATGAAATATCCAATACATGAAGTGGCAAATTTTTACTTACAGACCGACCTCCTAACTCTTAGCTATAAAAAAACTTTAGCCCTTAGCTATAAAAAGCTATTATTGATTTTACCAATTAATGTTATTTTATGGTATTGTTTTATTATTAAACATATTTAAGCAGTTGTTTCGGTGTTTGTAATTTACTAAATTTATGAAGTAGATCGAAATAGATTATAATTAAGTTATTTCGTAAACAAGTAAACTATAACGTTTGATTAAATATATAAATAATAATAGTCAAATCCTTATAAAGAAATATAAATATACTCATTGACAAAATCAATAAAACCTTTTTAGAGCTATGACTAGAGTTGTAGCGAGTAAGTTAGGCGGTCGCAACCCTGGCACGACGTATCGTAGTATAACGATAATAAGTATGTGACAGAAATAAATAAAGATCTATTAAATATGCACTTATAGTAATAATTTTGTTTTTATTTCACTGTAAAAATATTATTTACATCTTAATACATTCTTATTCCTAGATTATAAACCTAATTAACGAAGGTCTTCATACGTATCGAGATAAAATGAGTAATAAATTAATGAATTTGGGAAGTGATGTGCAACGTCGACGATATGTATGGAGGTGACCATTATTTACAAAACAATGTTTCCTGTGTCGAAACGAATGTGGAGAGACCGTGTAATGTATGAGTAGTAATATGTACAGGGAATAGTTGTGTCTTGAGCTGCCTTCTATGTTCGAAGTCATTACATGGATTCATAGTTTTTTATACAATCTCCTTTACCAACAACATTGTTATTTCAGATAATGAACTATTCTTTTATCTATTGGGAAAGTAACTGTTCTATAATGTATTTTTTTTATTAAATGGTTAAATTAGGAACGATTATAATCTTCTTCTATGGCTAATTATTATCAAGTGATGGTAAAGATTATAATAGAATCCAAGTGATGAGCGAACAGAGGCTGGTAGGTGGTCTGTGGTAGGATGGCCAGATATCGGCTCACGTGTTGGGCTGCAGTCCCTTCGGCTTGATCATCATCGAAGCTCGCTTCAGGGTATAATCCCAGCCCCTCCAACGGAACCATACGATTCCTGAACGTTCAAAAATAAGTTAAGTAGATACAATAAATACACATCGATTTTATTTTTTCGATATTGAATCGTTTGTAGGCAGAATTATTTCAATAAACGCGTTCTCATGTAGGTAGAGTATGTGTACCGAATATGAAAAGCTTTGTCTATAGAAAAACATTATTATATTATAAGTACCTCGGTGGCGTAGTGGATAAGCGCCGCATCTCGCGATCGTTGTTGTTAAGCAACTTTCGCAAGGGTCGGTCATGGGATGGGTGACCAAAAGATTATTATCTCGAGCTACTTCGTGCTTCGGAAGGCACGTTAAGCAGTTGGTCCCGGTTGCATTTGCAGTCGTTAATACCCTCCAATCCGCATTGGACCAGCGTGGAGGGTCATAACCCATCCTCCTTAACCATCCATAAGGAAGGCCTGAGCCCTTGCAGTGGGGACGTAAAAAGGGCTGATGATGATGATGGTGATAGCCTATTATTGTCTCATCGATTATGTCTAAGAAATACTTAAGCTTAAGAAATACTATTTTCTAAAGATATCAAAGCATCGTAATTAAGTGTCCTTACGGCGGGGGCATATTGGTGGCTTTCGCAGCTCGGAAAAAACAAATCTTTGATAATTTTTTCGTGACGGGCTTATACGATATTACCTTTACTACCATAATCGCAGACTGAATGCGTCATATTAAAACTTTGATGAAATATTTTGTGCTTATTATTGTTTTTTTTTTTTAAATTAGAGATACTATTTAGTATCTATTATTTAATATTTTCATTACCTTGTCTTGCCGTTAGATCTTGCGGATCGTGTAAGTAGAGGCCGTTAAGGCCGCGACCGCAAGATTTCCACCACCAACCGCCTTTTAACATAGATGCACAATTCAGTGAGGATCGATCATTGTCTCTGAAATGAATAAAATCGTTTTACCTTTCATAGATTCATTAAAGTATAATTATTTTTCATTCCATTAAACTATATTACTAACAAATAATATATTTTAAATGGTTATTCTCGAGTAACTAATAAAATAAGTTATTATTAAAGAAATAAAGGTTAAATGCATAAATAATAAGACAAACATTAAAAAAACAAGTTATAAATTGTTTTTTTACAAACTTTGTTTTATTACATTTGAGTTATTCGAAAAGAATCGATTTCCAGTAAAAGACTATAATAAAAAGCAGTAGTTCTAATCATTTCTCTCAAAGGAGATAAAAATATAACTACACGGACAATACTTGATAATTATTTTACTTTAAAATAAAGTACTTAGCTTTTTCTTAATAAGGCTGGGGTTCGGTAAGGCTGCGAACTTACCGATTGTATGTAGAGAACGGGCTGTTGTTGGAGCCGTACCAGGGATCATTTAGGGAATCGCCAGCGTTGCCCTCATATCCATCAATTTCTAATTTGTAGTATTCCGCTTCTGAGTAGATTTTGAAGTGCGAATACTGTGCGTACCTACAGATGAGAATGCGTATTAACACTATTGTATATTTTATTTAATACTATCATCTAGAATAATAATAATAACTTTATTGTCAATTACAGTACAATCTTTGTGTTCTGTCTCCCATAACTATATTATGGAAGCCAGTCAGTGCCTTCTTAACTACTGTTACAATTCAATATTAGGTGGGTTGTTTTAAAAAACTAAAAAGAAAGCGATTAATAAACATAAGTTAGCCAACATGTCTTTTCAAAACCAAGACCTCTTTGTTTTGGTATGTAGTTGTACACCTGTTTCTTTGATCCTATTTCTTATTTATTATTTAAAAAAAAAAGAAATATACACGTACTCTATTAGAGTAGAAAAACGAATTATTTCATTGCCACAATCAGTTTTATTAGTGTAATATAATACTAGGAAATAAGTTTCAAGACGCGGGCTTCAAGCCAGAAGGTGTATACGCAAAAACGAGCCAAACTTTCCTAATGTTATCAATTGATAAAACCTATTTTTAATAATCGGTAACACAGAAAATAGACATGTATTATTTTCATGTCTCCTGAAAAGTAAGGATAATGCTTATACGTCCCTATGACTTGAAGCCCACGATGTTTCCTAATTAATGTTTTATTATGATAGTAGGTATTTTGTGTTTTCAAATATCTTAACATAATTTAAAATAATAGTATGGGAACCAGTTATTGGTTATCGTGTAAGCTATACAATCATTCCCCTAATGAAAAAAGTAAATAATTACATGTAATTCTGTTGCTCTATTTAAATATATATATGTAATAAATAAATATAGTTTTTTGTTTCTAGTGTCTTTAAAGTTGAACATCAAGGTAACTTTAATAACAAGGATATTTTACTTTTAATAAAATTAATAAGTGTGTTTCATATCGCAGTCTTTGACAGTTAGTATGTTGCCTGAGTTTTCTACAGTCGCACTGTAGGACAATGAGACACTGGCGAACTAAGGTGGGAAGATATCCCCTCCCAGGCCTGGGGAGGCGGCCAAATCGGCTGCCGCCATCCGCCAAAATCGTAATAAAGTTCCAGTTGGCTATGAAAATGTTTAATCCAGTTGAATTGTGATGAATATCAATTGTGATTTATATTTAAGGGTATTTATTTGGGTAAATATCAGATCATCTCTTATTATATGATGTAATGAGCGACAAAGAGTATCATTTAATTATTCCATACAATACATGCGAAAGTAAATCTGTGTATAATTATGTCTCTTACGCTCTCACACCTAAACCGCTGAGAGAGGACATAGGTTACTTTTTATTCGGATAAAAGTGTTGAAACTTTTTATTCGGATATTTTACAAATGAATAAATATTTGTTTGAATGTTTTTGGAAATGCTGCTCAAAGTAACTATACCACGCGAACGAAGTCGCGGACAAAAGCTAGTTTTTATATAATTGTTCATTTTCTTTTCTTATTTTCGCGCCAATACATTGCTATTAAATATTTTGTGATTTAAAAACGCAGTGAAGTGATAAAGAGAACTGCATCAAATCGCATCGTTGTGATTTCAATACATAAAGTAGATATGAAGCTAAACACAATTTTCAGTAGCTTGAACTATCAAATAACCTATCAATAGATAAGTACAATAACCTCCTCTGTTTGTGACCGAAAAATATCTGGCCGTCCACATAGTGTTTGTAAGAAAAAAATGATCAAAGCAGTAAGGGAAAGAATTTAAAGAAATTTTGTCTTAAAGTAACAGATTTTATATCGGGAGATGAAAGATTCATTTCGCGTATTTTAAAAGATGACTTGGGACTTGCAGCCTATAAGAGACGCACTGGTCACTTCTTAACAGATAATTTAAAAAAGGGAGGTACAATCAAAACAACTACATAAGCGGTACGCAAAGGAAGGTCACAGAAAAAAAATTTTTAGGGAGGAGAAAATTTTTACACTTGAGCATTAATTTAACAAACAAAATGATTATATTTATGCTCAGAGCTTTAAAGAAACTTCACGATTAGTCAACATATTACAAGCAACGTGGGCATTATTCGACTTCAGCGACGGTTTAGTTGGGTGTTTGCTATGAAAGAGTGACCGAGTCGTATATTGTCAAAGAGGCATTAAAACATCGACACGAGTGAATCAAGATACCATATTTGAGAACGTAGTTAAGCTCCTTAACAACACTATGTTTAATAACCAAGAAAGGTCCTTTCAGAAAGAGTCGGCGCCCGGTCATAAAGCTCGATCTAATATATACGAGTATATATGTATCAATCTTGGTCAAAAACGAACGTTCCGGATTTCATCAGATCTCAAGACTGGAATACAGATCTTAATCCGCTGGATTGCAATTTATGGTCAGTTTTAGAGAGCTTGCTCTAAGCGCCATGATAATTTGGACTCCCAAAAACAATCCATACGATTGGCAGTTAAGATTTTTTTCCTTGGAGAGAGTGCGTGCGTCTATTGATAACAGGCCTCAACGTTCAAAGGACTGTATCGCAGCCAATGGAGATCACTTCGAATAAGCTATATATATTTTAACGGCTTTATATTAATGTATTAAACTAACACATTGTAATAGTAAGAAATGTTTTGTTCAATAAAAAAATGTTGATTTTCTATGTAACAATATTTATGGCAAGACTATGTATAAAATATATGGAAACTTCGAAAATTCCTTTTTCTAGCAAGGAGCATGTAAATATCTTACTAGCCTCCCAAAATCATATAATCATGAGTTTTATTTTTATCGTTCTCTATAATTCTCCCAAGTGTCTTTGATATGGACGAAACGAGTAACCGATATTGAGGCTTATTATTTCCATTGTGTAATAAACACACCTTTGAAAACTTATTTATTTATTACTTTTTCGACGAGTCTATAAATTCTCTGCTCCAAAAGTTTAGCGTACACTGTAGAATTATTAAAAAAAAACATAACAATAAGCCCCAAAATTGTATAACTAAACAATATTATAAACCACTAACACTGCAATAGAAGCAAAAAAGATAGCAACAAATGATAAACAATAAAAGTGACAAAGTCATAAAAAATCAAATTAAACACCACATAAAAAAATACGAGACTGACAAAGCTACCACCAATATCATGTAAAAGCCTGACACAAATACTAACTTTCAGTATGGAGATCAAACATTAAAACATAACAGCTGTTTTTATTTATTATGGGGTATCATATATTTTCTTTTTAATATATGAATTAATCCAACGACATTTTCATTCGGATTATTAGTAAAAAAAAAAAATTCCTAAAATTTCTCAGTGGCATGATAAGCAAAATCACATATAAATTGACATCTACGTATTTTCGCGCTGTTACTTGTGTTACTTCCATGAAATACATAAATATTCCTAATATTATATTTGAAAACTCATATTTTTATAAAAATACGGACATATTTAAAAATATTTGTAAAAACAATCAATAATATTAACAATGAAATACGACTTCAATCGATATTACTATATTGCGTTAAGTATATTTTATTTTGAATCCAATGAAAATTTCCATGGGAATATTGCAGACCAATAACCTTATAATTATTTATGAAGCAGGGTTGATCTTGAAACCCAACCACCGCAAAGGTTATTGGTTAGATACAATATAATTCGCGATCGATGTTATTGTCCTAATACAAAACACTTATATATACTATAATAAAAACGTAACCGATCGATGTCTGTACATTGAAGATATATGAAAAAAAATGTTATGAGCGACATTAATAAGAGTAATAGAACACAAAACAATGATTTTTAAATTTTTTGTCTGTTTGTCTGTGTGTCTCACAAGGTATAATGAACTAGCTGTTTTCCCGCAACTTTACCCCAAAATTATAGCCTAAGACATCCGTGATGTAGCTTCCCGTAGGTAGAATCTCTCTGAAACTATCGGTCCAGTAGTTTTGGGGCAAATTCGATGCAAACAAACAAACAACCAAATCTTTCCTCTTTATAATATTAGTATAGCTTAAGTATAAGTGGTCCGATGGGTTAACGCATTCGGTTTAAATTGTAATGAAATAAACAAGGACATACTTGAATACTTATTTTACATAACTACGTACAAACGACAAAGTCATAGCTAGCAAGCGATTTCTTCCGGGCAACCTAGCATTACATGGAAAATAGAACAATAAATAGCCGATTGTGGTATGCACAATCGGCTATTTAATTATAATTATTTAACTAGATAAATAATTATAATTTAAAAATATCAAAAACAAAAGAAGGACAGTTTTAAGGTACGAATAAAATTCTCAGACAAAGGCGACAACCAGAGCGCGAGAAACGAGAAAAAAGATAGAAAAATTACATTCGTAAGGACAGGATGGGTGACCAAAACATTATTATCTTGAGCACTGTGCACAGCACTGGCACAATGCACGTTAAGCTGTTAGTCCTGGCTGCATCAGCAACGTGAACACCCACCGATCCGCATTAAGCAGTTATGGCTAAGTGTTAAGTGGGTTATGGCCCATTGATCTTATTCGATTCGACTCCATTCATAGGAATTAAAGAATTCTACCAAAATACTTCCCACGCAGACGAAGTTGCGGGCACAGCTAGTTACATGATAAAAATCGCTATTTGCTGTTTAATTTTTTTAGTTGGATTTCAGTACCTAATTTTCATTTTCATTGTCGCTTTGATACACAAAATCAAAATTTGTGAAAAAAAGTCGTGTTAGTAATTTACTATATTCTTTGCACATAAAACATAATTGTCATGACCAACATGACTGTTATTTGGTTTTGTTATATTTATTATAATTATCACATTAATATTACTATAAAAGGAGGACGGACATTTTCATAATAAAAAACACCGCACTAACGTAATCATGGCCCATTCAGTGGGAATGCATAATATTAGGTCCTTAGATATGAAATTGACGTTTTGTCGTACTGGCCATTTTATTCACAAATTTCTCCTCCTTGGTTGGAAATTCCAAATTCAAATTTATACAACCACATATATTTGCACATGTATTTGTTTTTCATTAGGCGGCATTCATTTGTTTTTTTTTTTACTTTTGTTTATCCTATTTACGTCACCCAGTATAAAAAATGGAAAACTTGAAATATCGTGTTATTCACGAGTATGAGTTCTACCGTGATACCAGTGCTGCGGAAACGGCTCGAAGGGGTTAATGATGTGTATGGCGGTTGTTTCGCAAAAGAAAATAAAGTGCATTTTTGGTTCCAACGTTTTTGTTCTGGAGATTTCGACCTGCAGAACAAGCCCCGTGGACAGCCGGAGACCAAAGTTAATAATGAAGAATTGAAGTCTATTGTGGTACCGGTTCCACCGCAAACCACGTCCGAGTTAGCTGCAGGTTGCGGTGTTAGCGATAAAACTGTTTTAATCCACTTAAGCAAATTGGAAAGATTAAAAAGCTAGAAAGGGTAGGTACCTCGAAAATTGAGTGAAGCAAACCAGCAAACGCGCTTCGTTACATTACTTAACCGGCACGATAATGAAGAGTTTGAAATCAAATCATTACCTGTAATGAAAAGTGGATTCTCTACGATAATCGGAAGCGCTCATCGCAATAGTTGGACCCTGGCATGACAGTCAATCCTGCCCCAAGCGAAAATTCACTCCAAAGCATTTGGTGAACTATTGCCGGTGGCGTTGATTTCAGTTTTTTCAAATCTACCCAGACGATTACGGCAGACGTCTATGGTTAGCAATTGCAAACCATGGTGGAAAAACTAGCTGTTAAACAACCGAGGCTGGTCCATCGCTCTACGCCACTGCTACTTCACGACAACGCTAGACCACACACTGTACAACTGACGGCTACCAAATTAGAAGAGCTTCAATAGGAATGTTTAAGACATCCACCGTACTCCCCGGACCTTGCTCCAACAGATTACTATTTTTTTTTTCGAAATTTGGATAACTTCTTGCAAGGAAAAAAATTTAACTCGGATGGGGCAGTGCAAATCGCCTTCAAAGATTTTATTGATTCCCGTCCGAATGTTTTCGAAAACGAATACTAGATGTAAGGGGTTCGTTCCGTCATTGTCTTTTTCTTTTTATAAACGTGTAAAAGAGATCAAGTTCGTTCTACAGTAATAAAATGCTTCATACATTTTAACGTTAACTATAAACGATATCGAAAATTGTATAGTAAACAAATAGTTTTCCTTTTAACGAAAACGAAGCTATAGTTTTTAAAGGCGAATTCGTATTAGAGATACAGTTTTATATTATTTTTTAATATCATGTAATATCATATTGATATGTAATATGTATATCAAAGTCATTTATTTATTTTATAAGATGCAATTAAAGAAATTACAGATTGAACATATTTAAAACTGTTCTCAATTTCATAATATTATTTTTAAAAGTATATTTTTGAGGTAATTCCTTGTAAATTTTGCAAGTTCTTAATTACAAAAGTGGACTTGCTTTATGTATGCCTATATGATTATACAATAAGCTTTTGTAATACCTGGGTTACATGACCCTAATTTTTAGGGTTCATTACTATTATTACCAAGACTCCGCTGCCTATCTGTGTCAGTCTTTCTTTGACCGGGAAATATCTCATAAAACGTGAGAGATCTCGAGTATCTAGATTACTAATATCGCCTTGAATTTGTGTTTTTTTTTTAACTTAATGATCTTCACCTATTTCGATAATAATATTTCAATAACAGTGTTTTTAAAATTATAAAAGTTGTCGAATATATTGAAAAAGTGGTTGTTAAATCGTTGGTAATACTCTGGTAATAGATACGAAGAAAATAGGCAATGTGTGTTATTTACTTTTCTCAAAAACTAATGTAAACTAAGTATTATATGTAAATAAAAATGTAAACTAAGTATTATCCAATTTATTTAAACGAAAAGACTTTTTTTATTTACATTAAATTTCTTTGGCGATAAGCATACTTATTGCGGTACAGATTCAATACATGCCATCGCGGACTCATAAAAAGTTCTATAATTTTGCTATAGAAAGCATTCACATATTTATATTTCGGTGAGAGTTCGCAAAAATAGAGGTACACTATCTCTAGGAAACCGTTTAGTGGGATAAAATGTAGCGTCTAGGGTAATCCAATATTAGAATAATAACCTAGAACCTAATTTCATCAAAATTCGTCTAGTAGTTTTTGCTTGAAAAAGTAACAAATATCCAAATCTGTATAAGCTGATTAGAGATGTCGATATAAAAGGAAGGTATCGTTTTTACGGTTTACGAGTATTTACAAAATTTAATATAATAAATCAATTCAAAGTATTACGTAAGATTAGTAATTTGTATTTAAGTCGATACGATGTATGAAGTTATAGTTATTGCAACTGGGTCATTGGAATATTAATTCAAGTGATTCTTTAAAGGCTGCGTAACCTATACATATTCACATGAACTTCGTTTATAATAACTTTCAATTTATGGGTAATGTATAGAAAATATTGATTAATCATTTAGTTATTAAATATACTAAGACTAATTTTTAGGCTTTGAGAACCTTTTAATGAGATTCCATTTTCTACTTATAATATTTATGTTGATTAATAACGATAGCAGCTTAAATTCCGCTTCGCAGACCAAACGCGCTAACCACTACGCCATCTAGTTCTACTATACGTAAATACCTATAATTTAATATCTTTGTAACACATATTTAACCTCGAACTGTATGTTAGATATCAATCAGACTTTGTGGTAATTAGAAACAAGGATAAAATTATTATCCGATTTCCGCCTTTAAGAACATTGCTGTGTACGCCGCGTGAATGAGTGTATGCGCGTTTTTAGTGACAATGGCAAATTATTTTTAATTGTTATTTTTATAGTACAGGTACCAATATATACAACGTTACCTACGTTAATAATATATAATTAATCAGCGTGTTTATCGTATACCGCTAGCCTCACTCCCTTTTTGAAACTAAAATAAATATAGTCGCTAATGAAGACGCATTTAACGAGGCCTTTTTTAACAACCAGTAGATCCATTTACCCGACTATGGCGGTGAAAAGGTGGGTTATGATTTTGTCCGCTATGTACGCAAGAATCGTAACTGGGTATCATTAGAAGCGTCTTAGTTGTTCGCGTGCTATAATCTACAAGCCAGTTGCACAAACGTTCATTAAAACTGTCATTAGTTTTAAGCGATATTATCCATACAAATATGACATTCATTAGAGCTTAAAGGCATCATTAAACCTTTTAACGTTTGTGCAACTGACCGTATGTGACGTTACATTAAATTTGCAATAGCGCCCTATCGAGAGCATAAAGAAAGAAACTAAAAAAAAATTAATCGATCCATGTATAAAATAAAAGGGCTTAATTTGCACATTTCAAATATATATATATGTGATAGCTTTTGCCTGATATTTTCTTTAAATTTTGAAATAATAAAATAAATTCAAAAACCAAAATTTGACTACAGCCAAATCACGCTCTAAAAAGTTTGTAAAATAGTTATGTTATACTTCTTTTATCAGATTTTCTCTCTAGTGACAAAATTGATGACTCCATCTCTCGGTGTTGTCGCCCCTTATTTCTGTCTCGTTGTCCATCTCCTTTCTAAATGGTTAAACAAGCATTCCAACAGAGGATTTCAATTGCCGCCATCCAGAATGTTCGCAAAAACCGAAATCACCTCTGCCGGAAAGTTGGTTTGCAACTGTGTGCTTTGCACATTAGATCGGTCTGTGTCTCCACATATTAATAACGTACCGTTTGTTTCCATCGAAGTCCTCGAGTTCCACTCGAAGCATGTAGTCGTCGTTGTTGGTGAGCATGTAGATGTTCTCGTTGCCGAGCCAGAACTCTTTGCCGGGGTCGCCGAAGCCGTTCTTGTAGTCGCCCCAGTCACGGTTGAAATTCTCCGCTGGTATACCGTAATCATCACGGCGGTGGATCACCTATTATTTAACAAGTAATTAGTTAACGTCAACTTAAGCTTGGAGCTAGGCTTGTACTTTGTTAGACCCGGCGGGCTCCTTGCCGGATCCTGGGTCCTTCCCCCCTTGTCTTTTATCGGGTAGGCCGGCCTTGGCACGGGGTCTCAGAGCCCTGGTTTAAGGTTGCATTTAGTTTATAGAAATTGATTCAGAATTCATAAAAAAGTCGATGAACATGCCTATTTTCTCAAACAATAGGTATACATATTATATTTAAAATATATACATAAATTCCTTCTTTCGGATTTTGAATGAATTCAAAATACGAAATCTTTTGTTTTTTAGCTGAAATAAAAATTTTGGTGATTTCTGATGTAAAGCGTATTTGGTTTTATTATAAAACGTGATTTGATTTAGATAAAATTTAAATGGGACCACCTCGGTCAACAATTGACGGCAATATTGCTAAACATACATAACAAAACATACATTGCCATCGAACATATAATTCCCCATTTTAGATTTTGAGATCGGTTAAAAAGAAGGAGGTTCTCATTTCGACTGAATGTTTTCTTTAAAGTAGTTTGAGGTCGTTAAAAAATATGACATATGACGCTTTAATTATATTAAACAAAATTTAAAAAATTTATAAACAGTTTTGGGCATTCGTATTCTTTTCCTTATTCAATAATATTGCGATAAACTGCATAAGTATACATAAACGATGCTGATAATAAAAAAATTGATTAGGGAATTTAGTCATTTAAAATTTTGTTAAAAATGTATTTACTACTTATTTCAATTAAATGTAAATTAGTGCTTACCGTCCATCCTCCATCAGCGACGTTTTGCTCACAGAAGACTTTGAGGAACCAGTACGTAGTACCTCTGATCTGCAGGTAGTATACACCTGATTCTCTCATGCCCGCGTTCAAGAGATCCACACATGAGTAACCCTGCAAACAAACTTCGTTGTTATCATCGAGCTATATAACCATGTTACCATGAGCATTATACATGTTTGGTAAGCATTCACAATAGTATACAATCAATTTTCTTGTAGAAAAATATTTATAGCAAGTTATTTACATATTCAGCATTCTTTATAAGATCTCTGATAATTCAATTGGTAGAGCAGCGGAAACTTTACCAGGACCACTCTTGGTGATTATTTTTTTTTATATTTTTTTCCATGAATTTGTTAAACATAATTAAAACTACATTTCGCTGGCATCAAAATAATTTTAAAGTACAATAACTGTGGACAACTAGAAACACTTCATAGAAATATTAAAATACTAGCTGTTTTTCCGCAACGCCGCTCACGTAAATTATAGTTTTACTTGCATAAGTATAATGAAGCTTCCCTTAGGTAAAAGAATTTTTAAAATCAATCCAGTAGTTTCTAATATACCATAAATAGATTAACATTCTGAAGTAGGATATCTCTTCGGAAAATATTTGGCATGTCCTAGGTGAATATGTATAAATTAGATTATGATTTTCGAAGTTCAGACTGACGAAGGAGCGGTTAGAGATAGTTTTAAGATAATAAGCATAAGTCTAAATTTATTCTTGATTGTTATAAGAGCTTGTGGGTTTTATGGTAGCAAAATGAAGCAACAATGGTACGCTGCATAATATTGCGCTTAGTTATTGCCTTGAACTTCTCCATTTTACTTGAGGAATGTCCTCAACACAGACTAGATGTTTCATTGTTGTTTTAAGAAATATGAGTAATAAAGGTACATATTACATATTAAAATACATTTGGTGTATCAAATGCTGATGTTTTTTCTAACAGCACGTTAATTTTGATTACCTTTTGTGTGAGACAATTATCAAGATAAAAATTTGGTACGTAGTTTAGCTGTTGTTACATTAAAAAATTCATTAATAATACACTTCGCGAGTATAGCGACAGCGTTACGTGCCAACTTCCTGGGTCATGAAACGCCCAGACATTTTGACTTTCGCTGGTGCTCTGCGAAATAAGCTGTGCACATGTGAATATGATTTCGCTATGCTTTTTATTTAATAAACATATACGTGAGGCGCAGGTATATGGTTATGCAAATTATCAGGTAAGATCCATAACACCAACAACGAAATATATAAACAACCAATGGCTGGTTCATCTAACAAGAAGTATCTTAAAATGCTTTTGGGAACTTTGATAATTTTGCGACTAAACTGCCCGTTGTACAAACGTTCATTAAATTATCATTTTTTACCGTAACCATTTTTTAACTTTTGGAACATTCATTAGAGCTTTTTCATTAAAGTCTTCATTAAACCGATATGAACGTTTAAACGACTTGGCATATGCCTATGTTATGTAGATACTCATTGTGCCTATCCTAGCAGCACATTAAGAAATTTCTGTAATTATGTAGTTCTGAAGTTTAATTCCGACACATTAAAATAAAAATTTTAAAAATTGAGGATATACCTAACAGTTACCTATAACGACTAAAGACGATGGATATTAATATCGATTTAATCCTATCCTGTGAACGACAACTCTTTGGCACATCAAGTTATTGGTCAAATTTTTATTTTTATTTTAATGTGTCGAAATTGAACTTTAGGACTACATAATTGCAGAAATTTCTTGACACGCTGCTAGGTTAGGTCCAGCTTTTGATTTTTGGTTTATGCCGCTTCCATAAATCCAAATCAGTTAAATATACTAAAGTACCTATTTCGAACCAGAACATAGTGCTGTTGCCACATTAGAGGTCATTGAAATCGGTTTGAAATCGGTTTTAATTCAATGAAAATCTGAAGTTGTGGCGCTGTATTCGTAACAGAATAGTAAAGCTGAAAATTTGGATGTGCCATAACACATGTTAGTCCACATTCAGAAAGGGGCAACAGCAAGCATGCACGTTAGTAAGTCGGTGGACAGGAAGAGGCCCTTTCGTCTTTAATATATCAATTTAAAGATTATAAAGGTTAATTAATAGTGGCAAACATATGTAGTATGTTTACCTATTCTGAAGTAAATCTCCTTAATACGTATTGCGTAATGTTACTAAATCAATTTCGTCAAAATAGGTTTTAATATATTGTTATTTAAATATATGATTGGTTATTATTAAAGATAAATGAATGTAAACATGATTTATTATGTGTCACGTGCCCTTTAAATGACGAATCGGTTGACAAGTTATGGGTTTCGTTTCAATAGCTTTGTTTTGTTCTCCATAACTTATAATTAATTTGAGACGTTCGACTTTTCCTAAAGATTTATTAATGTGTGTTAAGAACAACCGGTATTGCTAAATTTGTCTATTTTCTGATGGTCTTCTTAAGTCTCGTACTGTTCACAAGAAGATAATCATTATTCATTTTGTTAAATCCCCTTGCATAATTTTCGTTTTTCGTCTTGGACTTTGAACGATGGATGGACCACATTCACGTAGAAAGTTTTTGTACTAGACTGTTGAAGGTATTGTTTTAGAGTTCTATTATCATTTAATTATGGGTCCAAGCAACTTTCTGCTTAGGTATATTCCTTGCTTACAATAGTTTTTTTTTAACCAGCCGTTTATCAGTAAAAGTAAAGACTTGTGGTATTGACTTGCAGGTACTTGTTTATGAAGAAAGGAAAGTGTTTGCCTATCTACCTATTATACAGTTTTCATCATAGCGATATGCCTCATCGTTACGATTCAGCAATTTCTCGATTATAGATGTTTTATGTTCCTCAGGTCCATAGAGTTTGCGCTTCGATGCAGTTCTAACTTATGGTTAACTTATGGTAACTTGGTTGTACCTATGATTACATTCCATGTTTGAAAATTATAGTTTTTTCAACATCACTTCCTTACGTAATATTCAGCTATGTTTACCTACAAGAAGAGACTATAAATGTCGTAACATGTAAACTTCAGGTTTTCTTAATTAAATATAATATTATGCAAAATATTATTACTGTATCTTCTCACGTTTTAGTTTTTACACGAGACCATAATATTTTTCTCGTTTCTGTATTTCATCTTCCTTTGTCTGTTTTCCTATAGTATGTATATCAAAAAATACTAAACTATGCCTATGATTGGAATTCTTTTGAGAATTCAGATTTAATTTTGTTAACATATTCAAACAATAATACTAGTTTACTTATATAATGATAATACTCGTAATAAAGTATTTGTTTCCTCGATTAGAAACAGGCGAGTTCAGCAACACCTGTAGGATAAACGTGCCGTAATTGGGTTGCATCATCGTTCGATTTAACAGTTGGTTCTCGTACGTTGAAATAATAAACACGGTGTAACCGTAATTGTCAATCTTGTGGGAAAGGCCGGTTTTTGCGCGCGCGTTTGCAGCGGAAAGCACCAGCGTTCAAACGCACATACGTATATGAACCAGATTTACGTAATAGGTTCGATGCAACTTTCCTTGTGAGTAACTCTTGGAATTTTTAAACCGTAGTGGCTGTTTTCACGCATCCCTGCGAATTTAATGAATGGACAAACATGGTACAATCGCGATTATTAAACTTAAAAACTGGTTTCGGTACAAACTGGTATATTGCACAATCTGTTGATTGAAAACATTTCTACGAGACGTCCAATAACTGTCGCAATGACCGTAAACCTTCTCTCGGTGTTCATCGACTAACCGAGTTATGTGTCTTCTTTTTCTTCAGATTACGAAACAAATTTATAAAAACAATTAGGTTAAATCTGAATAAAAATGTAACAACAACAATAAATGTTACTGCAGTGAACAAGTAGCGTTGATAACTTTATGAAAATTATTTCTGAACAACGAATATGGAATGAAATTAGACTACGGTGTAGAAAGGCACCTTATAACTATATTATATTTCAAAACATCTTATAGTTAACTAGTTTATTTAAACGGTTCTAGATAACATTGTGTGGGTTTAGTTACTTAGTATAAATAACGTTTCCTTGTGTTATTACCTAACCTCGACACGTAAAAGGCAGCCTATAATTCGAATGCGTATGTTTACCTTAGATAATGCAAAAGGGAGCTATCGTTAAGATTCCGGCTTTTGCTTTAAAATAGCTATGTAGTTGATGTAACCTCAAATATCTATGAAATTGCTATATTATTCCTGTTTATTATAAAGTTAATGATAACGTTGATTTATAACCAAATTGCTACCTAATACAATTTGTACCTAGCACATTTTTTAACATGCAAAATTTTGTAAGTATCCAAATAAACGGATTATGTAAGTAATACTATATATGATAATCATTGCAGTTTTAATAACGATTATATAGACAATTCAAAGTACGACAACTTATGAATAACTAATATTCTTTATATAACATTAACTCACTTTTACGTCTTTATAGTTGGCTACGATCTCCGATGCGAATGTATTGTTGCCGATGATCGGTTTGTTCTTGACGCTGGGGAAGATGATGCCGCCCTTGCGGCTAGCCGGGCGCGTCGACGAGGAGGCGTTCACCGGCGTCACTGTTACTGTAGCGCTCGGGCTCGACCCGCTCGGACTGCGTGCGACACAACCATTAGTCACCGGCTACACCTAACACTTGTATTCAAAATCTTAACTCAAACAATACATTCGCAACAGATAATAGGTCGCAAGGCACGAATTCGCTATCGCAAGGCAGGTAGGTAAAGATAGATGTCACCTGTTAGTGAGCGTGGAAGAGGGAGGCATCGTGGTGGCCGCGACGGTGCTCGTGCTAGGGTCCGTTGACGGCTCGTCTACTCGGTACCGGTTTGGCGCGTACTCTACTAGTCGGTCGATCGTAGGGTCTAACAGGAGCTCAGCGGGAACTGGCCGTTGAGCGAGAGTAGCGACATCGTCTTCCTGCTTTTTCAATCTCTTCTCAACCATGTCCAAATTTTCTATAATTAAATTCGTCTTCAGACGCAAATCATTATGAATTTGCCCAATGGCGCGTTCTTGCCTTTGCGTTTGTGTGAGCAGCTCATCCGATTTTGGAACTAAATCGTCAACAGAGCTCTTTGTTCCGACAACTACGTCCCACACCTCATCCATTTTTTCCGAAACGCTCATCATAGGAATAATCTTATTGACGAGCGTATCTATTTTGCTGGCTTTCGCCACGGGTGATTGCGTACTAGTTGTGGTGCGATTTTTGAACAGACTGTTCACATTAATCGACGCAGCTTCTGGCTCGACGATCGCGGCATGAACGTCGGCCATCATATAAAGTACTTTGCCTAAATTTTCAGAAACCAGATTAATGTGAAATTGTAATTTACGGTCAACTGTCGACATCGATGTTCTCAGTTGGTCCACTTCTTTCGTAATTTCATTTACAATCTCGGAATTCAGTCCTTTTGCGATTTCTATAACGTTAAGATTGATAGGTTTCTTCTCGCTCGCTTCTGCGTTAATATCGTCTAGCGGCAAGAAATTATTATCTATTTGATTCTTCAAACCCACTAATTTGGTGTCTATGTCGGATACTTTTTGATCGAGAGATTCAAGTTTCTTATCCAGTAAATTTGTACTAGGATCCTGTGTTCGAGAAGCAGAGTTTTCTGTGTAGTTTTCATCTTGATCTTGCCCGATGTGACTGAATAGTTTCAGATCGAGATTACCTAGTTTTGAAATGATAGCGTCAGTTTTATGAATGTTATCGTTTACCCTCGAGTCAAGGGCTTCCACTCGTCTCATCAAGTGTTCTACGGCCTTATCCAGATTCTCTATTCGTTGCAGTTTAGTTTCCAAAGTGCTCACTATTACTTCAAATACGTTGAATATGTATTGTTCTCTGAAACAAAAGAAAGTAATCGTGAGTCATGATATCGTAATTAGGTGTGAACATATTAGTTGGTAGTCAGTATTTTGCTTGTTACTTAACAGTGCATATAAATGTTGAGTATTGTAGTCTGAGTTGCCATTTAAGGTTCTTATAAATATGTATTAGATACACGTAATAATTAAAACAGACTACAAAAATACTTTTAAAGCGCATAATTTCAAAACTGATGAAATAATGAGGAACGTAAAAATGACCGTGATCTATTAGCACGTACTGCATGTTTGGATCAGTGAAATTGACATATAGTAATGTTGCGTAATGCTAGAAATAGAAACCTTAAATTGTCCCACTTACGTGCTCCGCACAATGGTCACGAGTGCCGACCGTATGTTTATTATAAATGCGCTAATTTACACATTTTTATAACAGGAAATTGTTGGAAATATATTGAATGGGTTTGTAATCAATTTGTTTTATTAATAGTTTCCGATTATATAATTCAAGAGGATTGGTTTCCTATAATGGAAGTAAAAAGTGGAATATTCGGATCGGGGTAATTTACGTTCATATCTGTTTTAAATTATTATTCTATGTGAAAAATTAACAGTTATTGAGAGGTATTCAACATAAAGGTAAAGTTTAGAAATTTGTTATTTAGAGTACCTACAAAAAAAAGTACATATCTATTCAGGTAGTTGGAAATGTAAAAAAGAAAATATAGAAAATAAAAATCAATAAAAAATTGACTGTGTGAAATATGTCGGGTCTAAGATACCACAAAAATCAGAATTTAATTTGTGACAAAACGTTTAAATATTTTAGTATAAATCGACAATGGTAGCTCGGTGGCGTAGTGGATAAGCGCCACGGCCCGCGATCGTAGTCGTAAAGCAACTTTCGCAAGGGTCGGTCACGGGATGGGTGACCAAAAAATTATTATCTCGAGCTACTCCGTGCTTCGGAAGCCACGTTAAGCCGTTGGTAGGTGCAAACTATTTATTGATTAATTAGTCGCAAACCATTACAACTATTATGAAAGTGACTCACGTATTTATCAATTTTTCTTACAAAAAGAGTAAACCTTATTATGAAAGGAAATTTAAGGCGTATTCTTTTTCTGCATCAATCGTGATCGAATAAATTTTATAAATTTAGTTTTTATAATGTATTGAGTGTGACAAAATTCTTGGAAAACTCATTTAAATTTCTTATTTATAATAACAGTTTACCTAAAGTTATTTATTGCTACAAAACCAATCGAAATACTTAGCTTTGGTATACGGGTATACTCTCAAGGTATGATGCCATGCTTGTCGTCGTACAGCTCGTTGTTAGTCGTCCATTTATTAGTTCACCTAGATACAATCCATAGGAATGTCCAGTGTGCTAATGCAACACCCGAAGATATATTAAAGTAGAACGGTTAGGCAATTGACTGTGAGTGATTTTATTCTTACTCGTTAGGAACCCACCGGCAGGTAATTAATACTTGTTACAGTACTGGGATTACTTCTGGGTTTGGTTTGGTATGTTATTCTTCAATTAATGATAATAATAAATTTTATACTAAATAATAATAATAATAATGATGACGAAAAATAAAGCTTTTTATGAGTAAAAAAATAGTAGTGTAAAAGATTTTTGTAAATTCATTTTTCTGTTTTAATGTCATTATTTAAAATTAAAATAACGTTCAAATAAAAAAGAGAAAAACTTTATTCAAAAACAGAACCTACTTCAAACTTTTCGAAAGTGATAAGTAAAACTTATCTTAAAGGGGATTAAATTTTTGAAAAACAAAACAATTTTGATTTTTAGTAACATTGATATTTATAATTACAATAAGTTACACTAAAAACATAAAAAATATATCAACATAGCACACAATTTTACTCCGGCGAAGTTGCGGGGAAACAGCTAGTTTAATTGAAATTGGTTCGCAATTCAAGAAGAAATCTATGAATATGTTGTCGATAATTTGTTTTTTTTTTGGTTGATGTAAATATGTCATCAAAATATTTAGGTGATATCTGATGAAAAGATTTTTTTTTTTGATATCGGTCAACAGTTGGAAAATCGCTGAAAACATATAAAGTAAAACCGCTTCCTGTTCGATTTTGAAGTCTGTCCAAAACTAGATCATACTTCTACGAATTTTGCAACAGTTAAAACGTGATGGCGGTGGAGTTGCAACAGACAGCTCTCAGGGACTGTCTGTCTACCCTCGATTTATTTATATTTGTCCAAGTTAGGGAAAGGTACACGGAGGAATTAAGTTGTGTTACCATATTCAATAATTTGTTTGTAACGCATTTTGAAACCGAAGACCGAATTCAGAAGAATTTCTCTACAGAAAACAATCACAAAATTACCCATAGAATGCCCTATTATTTTATTTATTATATACTATTTATTTAAAATTGATAAACAAATGAGTTGCTTTGTAGTCGAAATCTTTACGAACAACTATAAATACTCACAAGGGTGTGTTCCTATCTGTATCATTGACGCTCTCGTAGTTTTCGTCTCGTTTTCCCTTTTGTATTGATGGCCAGTTTTAAGTAAACTCAAGTTTTTTTTTTTTTTGTTGTCAATTCACTTTCTAATAAGCTTCGTAACAGCAAACATTTAATGATTGAGACGTGTACGTGCTAATTAATTTTTATGTTATTCGCCAATTGACCATTCAACTTGTTTTTTATTACGTTATAATTATTTTATGTTCATACTTTTGCAGAGTACAAGTTATAAATGTAATAAAACAAGCACTCAGACTATGCTTGCTTTCATTGCTATCAATTTAACGGTTATTGTGAAGTTATTTATTAATTTAAAACGTTGTCTACTTCAAATAGCAGTGCGGTTCTCATACTATAAATGCCGATACACATTCTTGAACTGGGAATATAATTCGTATGAATATTTTTATTGCAAAAAATGAGGTTGTCGTGTTAATTATAGATATTTAACAATAGGCCCTCGGAACGGTATTCAGGTGGCAAAAAATACGTGTATAAATATGTCTATGGGAATGACAAGTGTCGTTCAATCAGACTCAAGACGCAGGGCGGGCTATATGTAATCACCGGAGACCGGGGCCTTGTGATAATATAATAAAACAGTATGGTCGCCGCTAAACGTGTTACGCCCACATAGTTAAATTGATGATAGTATGTTCTGTAATCTCATTATGATAAAACCTTCGATTAGATTGCGAATCGTCGAATAATTAGGCGTAGATTTGACTTGATGGAAGTTCAAAAGCGTATTTCATTTTTAGAGAAGTTATTGAAAATAAAAGTAATATCTGGCTTTTGTCGTAATGTACATGACAGCTGAAGGCCTGTACTATTTCCATTTCCCCAAAACGAAATTTCGAAATATCAATATGACTCAAAAGAAAAGCATTTTTAATAATTTATTAGTGATGCGACTCGAGTCCTGTTTATACTCGAGTGAATTTTTAAACTCGTACTCTATGCACTCGAGTTATTGAGTCAACTTGGCGCATCGAGTTGATTCCCTTGCAACAAGATGTCACTTCGTTACTTTAGTTTATTAATCTATACCGCTTATTTTTTATTTTCTTGATTACTTAAATAAATGATATGTCAAAACTCTTTTATTTATATTATGTATGTAATTGTTTAAAATTACTAAGAGAAATCTCACTTGGAATTTTAACTCGAGTATGTCTCGAGTGAGGTAGTTAATTGGCTCAAGTGATTCGAATCACAAAATCCTACTAGCGGAGGTAGGACCTAACACTGCCTCTGATGTACAGATAATCTTCAGAGATATGACTTTGCCAAAATACGTTTCACAATTTTCCGTATTTTCGTTCAAGGACTATATAGACCCTTAGGTGTCATGCTGATTCGTACGAGTTATATGTACCTTATATGTACCCTACATGAGAACAAACAAAAAAAAGATTGACTAAGTTAGTAAGTAGGTATCGTACTTGTTACTCGATTTTGACTGCGATACAGATCTTGGTAATGTTACCACATTTGATTTAATGTCCGGTTTTTGCGTGGCCGCAATTAATGTTTACCTACTACAGAACCAGTTACTTCATCAATATAATGTCACCGAAATATAAGCCTAACCACAGTGTAGGCTAAAGATCACGTTAGATATAATGAATGTGATATTTGAGCACCCAACAAATGGGATGAGTCTAAAGATTATACTTAGACCTTGATGATGAGAAGTTGTGAAACTTTTAACGAGATTGGATTATGGTTTATTTACGTGTACACACATACCTATGCAGAAACATCATTATCCTAATTGATAAATTGTTTTTTTAATGAAAAATGCTTAAAAAATTCCCTAGTCCCAGGTACTCTGAGATGGGAGTATCTGGGACAAGTGGATTTGTTGAATATTTCCCAATATATTGTGTATGCAAAATTGTTCAAATATAATAAATAGTTTTGTTTATTGAGCAAAGCGCATCCTGAACTTTTTTAATTTGTAATTGAGGATCATCAATACAAATATCATAAAGAATATCATCAAATATCAGATCCGAACTACTGGAGCGATTTTAAAAATCCTTTTGCCTACGTGAAGCTTCATCATACGCAATGAACATATTTTATTCCGAAAAAACAGTAAATAAAGAGATGAAAATCGTAATGGAAGTTTGTATAAGGAAATAAAATGTTACCATACTGAAAATTGTTTACCATTCAAATTTTAATTAAAATTATGTATATCTGTGTCATGTTATGAATGGATCTCCAGATAAACAGTTTCCTAGCGTGGCCCACGCGGGTGAAGTTGCTGGCTATTTTTTATTAAAAATAGGAAGCTATTTTTTCAATAAAAATATAAACCGAAAAAACATCCGTGTGAATATATATCTACTATAAATGATTGGGTTAGCGAACATCAAATAACAGTTACTTATTCTAATGCGGCTACTTTAAGTAATCTAATCTAATAACACAGTATGTGAGCAGAGTAATTGCGATGTATGATTTTAACATTCTAATATTGTTAGTTGTTCTTTTTCCTCAAATTTATAATATCTACATTGTGTTTCATAGAGAAGTTGCTTAAATACTTACCCTAATTGCTTTAATTTCGCAAGACGGATTTAACAACTGTAATATCACGCACCACAGATATTGTATGGATCTCAAGCGGCGTTACTCGCAAATAGTGAATAGTTTGTTAAGAAATAGGTGCTAATCGAGATTTGACAACTTTGTATAAACGAGACAAATCGCGAGGCCAATCAATGACTTAGATTGGAGGAGTTATGC